TAGCCGATGGTTCACCGATTTTTAAGAGAATTGACAGCCATCGGGAAATTATTATTATTTTCCTCAAGAGAAGACTAGATTATCATGTGAGATAAGTTCGTCGAACTGAAGAATATTCGTTTTCTTTTCGGAAATTCGTAATAAAAATTCTTGAACATTTATAATTTGATGTTTATGATTTGATGAGAGACGGAGCCCTTCCATGCTCGCTCCATCCATAGCTACCGGATCAAATCTAGTATTTAATACAACGAAGCATCTGAATTTCCCCAGAAAAAAAAGCACCATCTGAATTTTCAAACGATCGGACGTTTTTTTTCCTCTCATCTGCGTTATATTTTTGTTTTCTTTTCACCGTGTAGCACAGCAATGACAATACGAAAAAGCCAACAACGACGTAATAGTAGTAGTAGAGCCAATAGTAATCGATACAGCTCAGCCTGTCTACCTTGTTTTTTCATCCTTCTCCAACAGTTTCCAGTGGTTTTCGTTAGCCAATTGGTATTTGCCTTGCAAAGGAGAATAGCAAAGCGTTGATGAAAACCGTAAGAATTTATGAAAGTATGTTTACCCACATTTTCTCACCCTAGTGCTTCTGAACTATGGATACAGAGAATCTCGTTCCCATAAATTTTCAATCGATAGTTGAATCTCCGAACAGCTCATTTGTACCATCTTCGAGCCACTGCTGATATTGCGGGTTTTTGGTTTAATATTCTGTGTTGGAGCTATAGTACACAGACAAAGACTGCTACCAACGGATTTTCCTTTACTAACGCTTCCGCCTATCTTGCCATGGTCCGATCGGTCGTTGCCCACCGACCATGCCTCTGGAGTAACCTAATTTAATTGAAACCCTTCTCTCTATCTCTCTAGACTATGCAACCACTCGAGAGGAAAAAGGTGCTTGGACCCGAGACATGTAGAGACTGTAGACATGCTCCAATTTTTCATATTTTATATTATCAATACTGAATGCCCAAGCGATTTTCATTAGTGGTGTCGTAACAGTGTTATCACGTCAAAACTTTAATTAATAATAATATTAACTAATATTATTTTCCTGAATGTTTGTGCAGGGCAATATCAATTTAATAATTGATTGAAAATTAATCCACTAATGGAATTTCTATGCATTCATATTAGTGATTTATTAACTATTTTTATTTCTGTTAAATTTGGCAGTGGCTGCGAATTTATTATTTATTTTCCCGTCAATTATTATTTGTATTGATTTAATTTAATTGGTCCATGCACTGTTTACTGCCATTTATATTAATTAAATAGTGTTGATTTAAATTGTTAATTATCAATTTCAGGAGCACATTCGAAGCTAATTGATGTTTTTGTTGAAAAGAAATTCTCATCGACGAAGTGTGAGTGTTCCACTTGAACGAAAAAATAAAGAGAGGAAAAGAGGAAAGAGGAATTTTCCGATACTAGTTCATATGAAGACGATGATTTATTTGAAGTCGCGCTGGTGAGGGAAGCGAAAATAGAAAGGCGATAAGGGGAATAAAAAAATAATCTCATAGCTGATAGTGGAACTGCAAAACCGTTTGACTCGACGAGCCACAAACTAATCCACTTACATTGGACTCGGGCTCTCGAAAGGAGGGACAGAAAGACGCTACCAACACACATATACCAAACTGACTTGGAATATTCCGAGTGAGGTGTGATGGAAGAACCGTAGGAGAAATAGGAAATCTGCAGTGAAAAGTAAAAAAAAAGTTCTTGAATTGATGTAAAAAATGTCAGAATGATCAATTCAGTTTGACTTCGCAGAAGATATGATATGGCTTCAGGAAAATGATATCATCTCTTCTTTGAAAGCACTCGTCTTGCTTTGACATTTTACAATGTAAGTGAACAATTTTTTTTTTTCAATATCATTGTTCTACAGAGAGATTCCAGCGGTGAAAAGTGCTAACAGGTTTCGAGAAAATGAAAAATTCTCTACTATTGATACATCTTCTTTAACGTGAGTCGATGTTATATTCATGTCTAAATATATAAAGCTCCTTTATCTTCGAGTAGAGGAGAAAAATAGGAGAGCAGACTCAGGTCACCATGAAAGTGGAAAGCACCCCACCGATAAATATACCAATAATTACCATCGCTCCAGAGCAACGAAATAGTGAGTCATAAACAGTCGGAGAATCACGGCAATATTTCTCCGAAAGTGCATAAACTGAAGGGAAGAGTGCACATAAAGAACACATCTCACGCTCGCAAAAACGTGCACCTGGTAGGAAAGTTTCTCCCCAGAAATACATATATATTGCCAAGAATAATGTATGTATCACTAGGGATGAGAGATTACACATGTGCGCTAAGATCTGACGGTTAGATTCGAGCCATTGCACCTCAGTCGACGTCGAGTTTTATCCTTTCATTGAGCGAATTGTTGAAAATAGCGGAAATTTTAGGGTAAACTTTTCGATTCAATGGTGCCGAAGACATTACGATCTGCAACCATAAATTAGATGCATCCGTTGGAAACTTTCAGCATTTACCTATATATCGACTAGAATATTTGCTTCTCGTCTATTCTGCGCATACTAAATCGAAGGAAAAAATATGAATAATATAATTTTTACGATTGGTCGGAGTCATCGCTCAACGATTGAATAAAAGTTTATATTTAAAAAATAGAAAATATTTTTTTTTTAGTTTATTTTCTCGAGATTTTAATTTCGGGAACAAAACACACCTCCGAATATTGACCATGAGATTTTTATCATGGAAGTTTACTCTGAGAACTGCGATTCTCGTAAGTGCATTCACTTCCGGGAAAATGGCTGAGTCCGGACTTGTTAGAAGATTTTCTTGCTTGAACCATTGAGTCTGAGGTAAAACACGAACACGACCGGGAAAACATTTCTCAAACTTTTCATCATAAACTGAAAACGTAACGGTGTTGAATTCGAGAGTTCGGCTGGAATACTTGAGTTTAAAATTCGAGCAGACGATTCTCGTAACACTCAAGCGACAGGGATTCAATTCGATAATTGGGTTTTCAATTAGTAAAGATCTTCTGATAATTGGATTTTCACTCGCATCAGAAGGAGAATTAGTTTTCATACTGCAAATCAAATTTGAGGGTCAATAGAAACGGGCATTTACGACAATTGCAAGTGCCATTACTCGGTATTTTAATAGCAGATTGTCTGTGGTAATTTTACACTAATTTTTGGACATTGAACACTCGGAAAAATAAAAATTATTAAATTCATACATTTTGTTAAAAAAATTCGTGACACTACCTTTTTTTTCTTTACTCTACTCCCTAAATCCGGATCATCAGAAAAATCAGAACCTTTTTCCTTACAACGCTCAACACATTGACCTCTCAACACGTTTCCTAGAAAATTTGGGCATGACGAAAAAAGTGTAACTAAAGAGGTTACTCGTTCAGGTAATTCCTTGGTAGTTTTTTCAGTTGAAAAGACTGTTTACAGGGGAAGGCTTCTCTGCTTTTAGCAAGTATATATAGTGGCGACTCCCCTCGTATCATAAATTCGCGGAGGATAGAAGTATAAGGTAAATAGCGTCGACCGTACGGTCCTTCGTAGATCCGCCCCTTTCACACCATCTTTCTATATTCTATCTTGTGCAGTACGTAAAGAAAGAAACTTGGAAGTGAAGAAATGGAAAGAGGAGAAAATAATGCATTGAGAGTATGAAAAGAAACCCTGAGAGAAACTTGCGTAACCATTTTTACGAGCACATCTTTTACATCTGAGGAATACTCACATTTATTAAAGTTTTTTTTACCCATTTCTGTACTTCCATGATTTATATATTCATTTCAGTAGTACACGCATTTCACATATTTTTATCAATAGCCAATAATTATTATTGAAAACAGGCTGTCGTGATACTATGATCAAATCTTGGAAGATTTTTAGCCGGGATCAACTTTGCCTTTAAAGATCTTCCCGATACCAAACAATGATTACAATGGAGAGAACAAATCTACGTGAGTAATGGAATCATAAATTCATGGATGATATTTGAAAAAAATAGAAAACAAGCGAGCACATCATTTAGGTATTGGATACGGTACGCGAGAGCAATGTTATCATGGTTCAACAGGCGCTGCTTTGTGTATATTCAATACATAATCGATTAATCCAATACCATTGAGCTGAACTTATGTTATTTTCAATTGTTAACTGTTAATGGAACCTTCATCAACGATGAATAACACCACCCCCAACATATTTGTTTTTCGCTCTAACCGTTTCTCGCTGATAGATTATCCCTAATATATAATATACTCCACTATTTATAAAACATCAGTGTTCTCCAACCGCAATATATATGATTTTTTTTCGAATACTTCGCAAACTCCCCGTTTCTCGGTTCGAAAATTCCACATTGAAAAAGTGGATTTTTCAAATAATTCAGTATATCAGTGAGTAATTCATTTTTCCCTTAATACAGCCCATCGAATAGAAGACTCATGAAAAATGTTTTTTCTTTCTGCGTGTTTTTTTTTTTTTTCGATTTCGTCCATTGTCGATAACCGACCCAGGATTAATTTATCTCGGTACGAGTCGGGAATGAACGATTTAAAAAAAAAAATGAAAAAGTTATCAGCGACAGGTTGAGCTGTAGTGGTGAGAGCTTGGGGTCTCCACAGTCAGTGAAAGATTATTATATATAGTGGGTGTGTGGGGTATGGTGTCGTACTTTGGTCATTGGCATTGTCGAGTGCCGGACGACCGTTGGCCGTGAGTGTATTTTCGATTCACCATCCTACGGTTTGTCGTCGACAGGCGGTGCTCCATTATGCCGGTAAAATATTGACACTCAATATTTTGCAGGAGCTCACTACACCCCAGGAGTGAGAATACGAGTACGAATATATTTTGTATATTCGAATGCCCGAGTATAACAATTGTTCGTGGTTGATTACTGTTTCTGCTTACTCGTACGCGATGAGTAATTATGTCTATTGCAAAAACATGTATTTATGGTAATCGACTTACCGAGGTCTTGTTGCCCAGGTTTTTTACACGACAATTGAGATACGTCGTTTTTCCCAGCAGGGCTGTGACGTTTTTTGATGCTGCTAGGTCGAAGTACGGTCCTGTTCTCGAATTGAGGTCATCGACAGCATTTTGTTGAGAAGGCTCCGAATTCTTTCCACTACTACTGTGCTGAGCACCGTAACTCAGGGAACCTGGAACAGATTGGGTTTTGCTTAATAAAATTTTTACGAAGTCGTTAGCCAACACCAGCGCAAACTGGTGAAATATGAACACATCCTACTTGATATATTGATTCCATTTGACAAGTGCCAAATACTGAATATGTCATTTCCATACGAAAGATACGATTGATTTTATATGAATATTGCGCATACTGATACAATGATTTTATCGAACAAGTGTAGGATAATGTGAATAAACATCGTTGAAATATTCCATTCATAGTAGCAATACTTCAATCCTCCTAACAATGGACTCTCCATTTATTCCAAACGCCATTATCTAGCTCTAAAAATCGATTGATTAGTGCAGATGAGTTAGTGAATTCATAATTGTCATGTTAGTAATACAATTTCATCTTCTCCTATTGTTGACCGCCTTTGAAGATCAATCGCTGCCTTGGGCTTCCCCCTTTGCTTTGAAATTCAAATTCACTCCACGTTCTACTTGAAATCCTTGCGGAGCAGAGTAAAGACAGTTCTCTGTAGATCTTGTATATAAATTGATTCTGTGTACCGGCGTTCCGGAAAATCTGGTTTACCAAAAAAAGATGTGGAATTTCTCCAAGAAGACAAAGGTCCAAGTTGTGGACATCTTCCATTGATAGGCCAACATCCGTTTGGATGGGGACTCTCCAATTCACGGGTAAGCGAAGTTGGTTGAATATCAGAGACATGAGCTCAGAATAGTTGTGAGGTGAAATGAAGCCTTGACCACGTCTCAATGAGAGAATCTCTCGGGTAATACGGTCATATGAAGAGCATGAATCACTATGAAACTTTACCTATTAATCGACGGACCTCGATTGTACCGGATGCCCTAACTTAGTTCTATGGGCTTCCGTTTCGTACCTGATTCGTTGATTCGGGAGATTCAAATTCAGGTGATGCCAAATGGAAATTTCGAATTTTTCAATTTCAGTGAATACCTTCTCGATTTTCATGCTCCCCTGATACTTTTTCGAAAAATTTCGAATTTTCAAATTTCAGGGAATACCTCCTCGATTTTCATGCTCCCCTGATATTTTTTTGAAAATTTCGAAATTTTTCAATTTCGGTGAATACCTCCTCGATTCTCATGCTCCACTGATACTTTTACAAAAATTTTGAATTTTCAAATTTCAGGGAATACCTCCTCGATTTTCATGCTCCCCTGATATTTTTTTGAAAATTTCGAAATTTTTCAATTTCAGTGAATACCTCCTCGATTTTCATGCTCCACTGATACTTTTACAAAAATTTTGAATTTTTGAATTTCAGTGAATACCTCCTCGATTTTCATGCTCCCCTGATACTTTTACAAAAATTTTGAATTTTCAAATTTCCGTGAATACCTCGAAATTTACAAATCTACAAACAATCCACAAATTCGACACAAAACCCCCGTCGTATGAATAATCCCAAAAATATTTTTCCCCCTGTGTAACTCATTAAGAGTAAAAAAATTCTAGAGTATTATTCGGTTAATGAAATCTCCCCTCACTGTCCCTTGAAGACATCCCAAAATTCCCGCGTCCTCAGGCGAAATTCTTATTTAACCTCGAAATATTTCAATTTCTCAAAGAACCTCTAACACATCATTTCACCGTTGAAAAGAGCCTCACGGCAACCCCATAGAGTGGTCCAAGCCGACATGTGAAAGATAAAATTGGGATGAAAAGGAAGAAAACCAGTGAGAAGAATGGAGAATAGTCCACGTAGTGGCCACCGGCAAATTTAGAATTCTTCACTTCCTCGATCCATGTTGTATCCATACATAGCTGGTCCCTTGTGGAGTGAAATACCTATATACATCACGGGTGAAAAACTGCATGTACTCCATATGGAAGCCCAGGGGCGAATGAAACGCAAGCCTGCGGAGCACAACTGTATATCGAGAAGCACTCTATTCACCGAGCTTTCGCCAATAAATAAACTCATCGGGGCATCATATTTCTTCGTCGCCAGAATACACCTCAACACCACAGCCAAGGTTGGCGATTTATTTTACAGTATTTATTTCATTTTGTGGTACATGAGCAGGTCATTCATCTGAATAATTGCCACACAATAGTTATGGATCAATCATCATTACGAAGCAAAAAAATCGCTGACTTTTTAATTTATCCAGATGCACGAGTACTTTGAGTAAAATTCCACCTAAATAATGCACTATTTGCTGTCACTAATTTGAAACTTAATATGCTACATTGATAATTCATCAGGACTTGGAAATTTGCTGGGCTTACGTGATTCCTATGCCAAATCTCATTCAGAATTCAACGGATTTAATTTACACGTTTAATCGTGTCTTTGACGATTTCAACCTAATTAACCATGAAAATGGCGGAGGAAATGGTAATGTTTCATTTGAATGGTGAGCGTTGATGGTGGTACATGTATTCCAGATGTAATATATGGACGGCTTCAAAAGTGGTAACCTATACCGATTTACTTTTCTCGTGTCTGTTTTGCGGTAGCAAAGACTTAACCGTGTGGTCGAGGCACACACATACTCCACACTTTAAAGTTGATCGCATGAGAATCAGAGGAATACTTTGACTAACATCCTGATTTTTCCTCAGTTAAATTCCGCCTAATGAGGATGGAAACGGATTGCAGCTTTGCCCGTAATTGCAATGTTCAAGGTAAAGGCTCAACAGAAAATCCGAAAATCCGAACATTCGTGCAATTCACGATTCGTAAGGTCAAAATTACGCACCCTGTATTTTTGTGGTCATATTACTACTCCATGCAGTATTGAACTTCACTGTTATCCTCGACGAGAATATATATTCCTCCAATGAAGTTGGGAATTGAAGTTGAAATTAAATTCCTCATAATCTGAGGCTATGGGTTTTATTATATATTCGGTTTTGTATGCATTGAAAAAATAATTACTCCTTCAGAATAAATTTGCTAACTACTAGGAAATCTACATATTTAAAATCCTATTATCCATATGTATTCACGTATGTTAAGTTAATTTATATAGTGGATATACCATTTATCATCTCTCTCTAAATCGTAGTAATTCTCAACATCATAATTCCATCCCTGCCAACATTTTCAATTTCCTCGAGGATGAAAATGTACTTTTTCACCTGATTCGCTACCATAATTTCACCTAGATTCGCCCTCACCCTGCATCCAATGAAAATAAAAAATATAAACGGATGGCAAAATTGCAGAGAAACTGTCACCCAGCAATTTGTAAGAAAATTGGATTGAACCGTTTAAGGAAGCTCGATAAATTTCTGTCTCCCTATTCACGAGCTGATGGTCGACTTGAAAAGGTGGAGGAAAGCGAAAAACGGAAGCATAGAGGCAGGGAGAAAAAAATGAAGAAACATCGAATGAGGAAAAAAAATACTCTCAATGGAAAGTGCCAAGAGAAAAATTCCCGGGAAGATAAACCCGGTCATATCCATAACTTGCAATCGATATTTTTTCCTCTGTTAACAATTACATTATCTTCGGGCTACAGAGGACTATCTACTCTAGAAATTTTTTCCCTCCAACCAATTCACTGAGTTAACTGAGCAGATAAGACTGATAGATTCTTGAGTGTAAAAATGATACCTTGCCAACGGCTAAGTTGGATGGTAGCCAATATTTGGTAATGCTAACAAGATTTCACCTGAAAATTCATATTGAAGGTAATTGCTATTGCTAAAACTGTTGCGTAAATCTAGTCGAAACTGCTGGACTTTTTTTTTCCATTTTTGGTTTTTCCCCTAATTTTTTCTTCACCGATCGACGCGTTTTTTCGTTTTTAAAAGTGATTTACTCAGGGATATCAACTCGCACGGACCATGGAGATGGCCCCTCCCTGGGTTACCGGTTGAGACGTGAAATCCTGTGATTGGTTCGGGGCTGTCTATGCGAAATTTCCCCACCATAAAATTTCTGCCAATCACGGCGTCATAGCTGGTTGTAGAGTAGGGCATCTCTGCCGTTAATCTTCAGACCACTTTGGGCATCCACGGGAGCATTGTTGGAGAGAAAGGCCGGAGAAGTAAAAAAAACAACTTGGTGGTTTCCAGAAGATAACAAATTCTCCACCAGGACTCTACAATTCGGTTCGTCGACAATGTCCACGTCGAAAATGTAAAATTAGATTATTAGAGTTCTACGTGGTTTATCGAAATTGTACTGCTCCATTGCTATAATTTCAACAAAAACTCAGCATTGATATCGCACACCTTCATCTTGGCGATTGCAAAAATTTCCATTGTCTAGTGCGGAATTGCTCACAATACTGAGTAAAACGGCATCGTATCTCGAGAGATGAAATCGTCTTGAGAATGTCGACAACTCTCGGTGTCCCAGTTTTTCTACAATTCTCCCTTTTTTTTTCAACGTCTTAACTCCTTATACCCGAGCGTCTTATTTGCGGTCACATTTCTACCGTCTCTCGTTCTTGCCGTCTCTGAACGCGACGGCCAATTCAGTTAATTTCACACCTCAGTGTCAAGAGGATGGCATAGAGAGAGCCATATAATATAAAGTAAGACGATTTTGTGCCAGAAGGGTCTACTCATTGTGAGATTCTATTTTTTCTCTTCATTTTTCTTAGCCCAGGCCGAGGTGCACCATTCAGTGCGAGTACGTCAAGAATCGACAATTATAATATTTTTCATTATTAATTGAAAACTTATGTCTTCTTTGTTGAGATAGAGGAGAATCCCAGAGAGAAGTTATGGTTTCTTTTCCCTCTTGCAACAAGTAGAGTCTACTCTCACAAGTGAGTCGCCAGCCATTTTGAGTTTTTGGATTTTTATTGTTGAGTTGAACCGAGAGGAGTGACTTATTAATATTTTTGAGTAAAAATTAAAATTAAGTTCTTTCTTTGGAAAAGTGGCGTACGTCACAAATTAATAAACACCACAAAAAATAAAATATAAAATGCATTTATTCTAGGATATATTTATTTTATCTTTACTGGTCATTCATCCTGTGATAATCTATTCATTGTAAAAATTTATCTCTGCAATTAGTATCTGGATTCAATTGTCGGGTCTATTGGAAAATTTTTCATTTCAGTTCCTGATGATAAAGCGGCTATCAATTATCGTGTTTATAGCCGAGGCATCGACGATTCTTTGAATGGTGAGGTTATTGAATGCCCGTTGATAACAATATAATTGCTTTTATATCTAAATATAACCAATCAAGATGGTAATCTTCAATTGTTCAATTTGAGCCCAGAAGATACATCTTCAGATAGACGTATAGAAAAAATGTTAATGAGAGCAATTAGCGATGAATCTCGTTAAAAAAATAATAACGTCATGTTCTAGCTGAGCAATAAACTCCTCGTTAAATTTAAATACTGCATTTATGTTAAATACATATTATAAATATATTTAAAAATTCGTTACTGCTAATATTATGACACATTAATTTCATTATTGTTCAAAAATTTACATATGAATCTATGTATATATATGTGGACGAAATTTTTAATAAAAAAATTAAATATTGAAAATAACTTTGAGCTCGTTGACTCGCAGTATAGCTGACGTCATAAATAAAGACTGATTCAATGCGCTGTGCGTCTTTAAAAGGTGATTATACCCCACTGCTACAGTCTGGAGAGCCATAACACTTAGTAAAGGTCTCAGTCACTCCGCGTTCTCCATCGCTTCATGATTAAAAATGGACAACGCCGAACAAAAGTGGTTGACCACATTTGTACTGCCAAGAATTGCTAAAATTACTGGCAAGTCGTGTGAAAACGCCACCTTGGAAATCCGAGTGCCACAGGATAGTTTCTTCATATCCGCTGTGTATTTCGCTAAAATAAAATTCGGAAATGAATCGATTTCTGTAGTGATAAAGAAACCAATATTTTTAAAAGAGGCAGCTATCGAAATGCACAGCTCTGAACTATTTCATAACGAAATATTATTTTACAATGAAGTGGCATCCACTAGTGGAAGATATCCTCGATGTTTTTACTCTCACGAAGACCTTGAGAATCCTGAGATGTCGTCTATCGTCACGGAAAATGTTGAAACAATGGGTTTTAAATTGTGCCCAGAAGCCTCGGAAATTCCAATGAAGTATATTATCGCGGGAGTTCGCGAAATGGCTAAATTCCATGCTATCGGTTACGCAATGAAACACAATAATCCGACTAAGTTTTATGGAATTGTTGAAAGAATCCAGGAGACGAGATATACGTTAGGAGAATGGAATGAAGCTTTAGTGAATGTAGTCGCAGCGAGACCCATTAAGTATTTGCACAAGGAACATTACGATCCAGAATTCTGCGTTAAAATGGAGAAACACCTAGAGTTTGCATTTGAAACAATTATGTTAGAGGCTGTTAAGCCTTGTGAACCATTGGCGGTGTTATGCCATGGTGACTACACAAGAAATAACATATTCTATCGAGAAACTGAAACTGGATTGGAGGCTATATTGATTGATTTTGCAATGCTGAGATATTCATCACCAGCGATCGATTTATCAACTTTTCTTTACATAAGCTGCTCAGCGAAAAACATCTGTGAAAATTTCGATGAGATATTCCATGCCTATCATGATGAATTGATCGATTATTTGCGGGAGCAGGGAATCCAAGCGGTCGATTGTTACTCATACGATAAGGTCCTCGCAGATTATAAAAAACGAGCAATGTTTGGCTATATCATTGCTCTATTTTTCATTCCGTTGCAGCGTGGCTTCATTAATGTCGATCCAACTACCATAGGGACAGATCAACTTCTTACATTCTATCAGAATGTTATGGAAGCCGGAGGCGATCAGCTGTCGAAGGAGTTCGCTAATCTTTTGATTAATTTACGAAGCAACGGCTGTTTTGATCATGTACTGTCGCCATAAATAAGTTTTTTTTTTCAATGGCCTCGACTTTGCGGATTGATTGGAAATATTTATTGTTGTTAGATAGAGGAATATTTTCTCGTCTACAGACTCTTGTATGTGAATTGACGTTTCAGACATAAAGAAATCTGAATTTGCACACTCATCGCGGAAATTCAGCATCAAACGCAATTGACAATTCGATAGACGGAAAATCATCGAATGACGAAGCATTTCAATTCTACAACAATCGAGGAAACACTCCACCTGGCTATTTTTTGATTGTTTCAGATAATTTTCTAAGAGGGCCGTCGTCGGCAACAGAAGTTTTCAGTCTTCAATCACTTATCTTGCGTGCAGGAGATTGATATCAGTCTTCGACACAGATGGTAATCAACAATTTTTTCTTAATCTCAAGAACAACTTCTGTTTAACATATTTAATTGACTGGGACATCGATGTGCATTATATTTGAACGATATAATCCGGTTTTTAATCGACTAAGACCAAGTGCTATGATGAATTTGAAACGTATGAAACCTCGTGATAATATCATCAAACCCGATCGACGAGGCAGAAACGAAGAATGTAATAAAATCGAAGAGCAAACACATTGACGGTGTTAGTTTGCTGTAGGTGATAAAATACCCGTTGGCAAAGAGAGACTCCCCTCTTTATTTTTTTATATCAATATAGCCTCATGTGCATGTCCACTTGTTGAAGTTTCAATGTCAGTGATGTAACTGTATGACTTATGTAATTTAGCAATGGACAACGGTCTCCTATTTAGAATTGTGAAATCCTCTCTTAACAGAATCAGCGTAACGTTTTTTTGCAGCCTGCGCCATTCTGTAGTATATCATTAATAATTTTAATCAATTATTGTTTCTAATAATTTTGAAAAAATAAAAAATATTTTTAAAAATTTTGATTATTAAGAAAGTAGAATGATTAATTATTACTAATAACAATAATTCTTTTTTTTAGATCAAAGTATTACTATCAGAATGAGTGTTGAAATGATTTTCACGTCATGGGTAAGCAGAAGAAATAGATCAGGGACAAATTGGCATTGGCCTACTTTTTCTGTTATCTATTTCTTCAGGGATCCCATATTTTTATTTCATATTTACATGGGTATTTGATTGGAAAAAAATGATTCCGAAAAATATTCTCATGAATGAAAAATTGCCGAATCGAGTTGAGAGTAAAAAATCTAAATTTAATCTTAATCAAATATTGTACAGTGATTGTCTGGAATGAAGTCGTGCAAATTAATTGGATTAATAAAATTTATCACCAAATTCTCCGCAGCACTCTGAGTATTAATGAATATACATTTTTTCCGTGAAAAATATTAATATCCCCGAAATCTACAGATGATAAGAGTAGATAACACGTTTTTGTGGCCTTTAACGTGTACCAAAAACAAATAATGAGGGATTCTGAAAGATCTCAGTGACATGTCTTAATTATAAAGCTAACAAGCGTCAGACATCTTCAAATAATAAAGGAATAGTGCAAAATCATTAGAAATAGTTCCGTAGATGACAAATGCCCTAGCAGTTTAAGATAGACTAGTGAGTAGTCAAGGCGTGTGCAATGAGTACAATGATTGAGTGGTTGGACGAGGAAGTGATTCCAAAAATAATTGAGCGTATCGAAAAATCGGGAAGAAAGTTCAAACGGAATTGGGCAGAACTTGAAAACTTTCATTTTTCATCCCAAGTTTTTTTGCTGGAACTGATATTCAAGGAAGATGAGAAAAACGAGGAAGAAACTTTTCACTTGATCTTGAAATGTCCATCGGTGCCACATGAATTGTCATGGAAGTTACTTGACAATGGAATGTATGCCAACGAAATTCTGTTCTACGAGAAATTCGCGAGGAATTCTCCAACATATCCCCGTTACATTTATGGGACAGCCGATGATCCAGACAAGACTGTAGTCATCATGGAAAATGTCAGCAAGAGAGGCTTTAAAATGTGTCCGCAGCCATACGATGTTCCCTTCAAATATGTCATGCATGCCGTTCGTGAGATTGGTAGATTCCATGGTGCAGGTTACGTGATGAAGGCAAAATATCCAAAAGAATTTCGAGAAATGATTTCACAGATAAAGCTATGCAGATATGTTCGCGGTTCGAGGTATGAAATACTGATAGAAACTGTCGCACTGAGACCGCTGGAGTGGCTTCGCAAAATCAATTATGATTCCGTTTTTTGTGACAAGATGGAAAAATACTTCGGTGATGCATTTAATAATATCATACTCAATGGTATGAGGCCAATTGAACCTCTAGCTGTCTTGATTCACGGCGACTTCACCAGGAGCAATATGTTGTTCAAGGAAACATCGGACAAAGTGGAGACCATGTTGATAGACTTTGGTACAATATGTTATGCCTCACCAGGTATAGATCTTTCCACTTTTCTATTTTTAAACGCTTCAAGCGAAGATAGGAGGAATAGATTTGACGAGATTTTCGCGGCTTACCATGAATCACTCTTGGGGTATCTTCGTGATGCTGGCGTCGTGGATTTGGAAAATTATTCGATTGAAAGTATGCTCAATGATTACCGAAGTCGAGCTACTTTTGGGTACATAACGGCTCTCCATTTTCTACCAGTCTTGCGCGGTTATTGTCACCATGATGATGATGATTGTAAACCCTCTCGAGGTCGAGAAGACATTGTAGCAGCCAGTGGGAGGGTAAAAGTGGGTGGAGGAGATGGTATGTCGAAAGAATTTGCAGACATGTTATTGGAACTTCGTAATACAGGATGTTTGGATCACGTCCTTGAGGAAATTAAATGAACCTCAATAGAAAATGTAAGCGCAACAGGGGTGAAATGAGATATCTATAAGATTTGAATTTTATAGAAAACATTGATTCTGAAATAAATAAAAATTCCTTGAATAAAGAAAAATATAAAAAAACGAATTCCTTATGAATTTAATTCTCAATAAAATAAAAAATGAATGCCCGTATCCCTGTATAATCAGGAATACAATTGCATTTATTATATAAATAATTGAAACTTCTACCTATTGTACCCTGTGAGAACATCGACTTTTACCTGATTTTTCTCACATTACATTTGATCTTACTTTCATATATTCAATGTAAAGCTTCAATGAATTTAAAAGGATCTGGTATTTATCATCTTCCGGCGCCAAGGATGACTAAATTTATGAGGAATCGATAGAATTTCAAATTCAATAGTGAAGTGCCACGAAAATTCTTGAGTAAAAAGTTTCACCCTTCTAGTATTTGAATGTTTCAAGACTATCGCTAACGGATGTCATCTCCAAAGAAGTGTCGAGAGAAATAAATAAATTCATATAATTAACATCGTATGTCTCACATTTTCAGCCTCCATTCACGATTATAGAAAAATTTGTTAAAATGTAATTACGGAAATAATAAAAAATTACAAAACATCATTCAACCGGTTTTGTATTGTTCTGTCCTTCACTCAATTCCATGGATTGAACTATCTATTACTGCTCATTGAATTCTCTTGATAGATAATACATATTTGGCAATACGCACGTATGGCTGTACACAAGATTGACTGATTACAATATTTATCAATAACAATGTTATGTTTGCTCGTAAAAATCAAATTGCGTCAAAGAGGAACTTCATACATCTAATCTACAAGAGGTATTCTCGGAATTCATCATGACAGATGTTTTTTTGACCTTACAAATTTCATGGTTTCCGTTATCACCTGTTTTTTGAATTAATACGCAATGAATCAATTTTACGAAATGAAAGTAAATTTTGGATATCGGGAAATTTTGGAAACATATTGCGTATGTTCAAGTGTTTATCTGGGTAATGGCCATTCATAGAATATTCCGGCGAAAACTACAAATAGCGAGCGATGATCGGGGAAGAGACAGTTCCATGCCTCGCCTTTCATTTGGAAACAAGCTTCGATTATCGAATTGGTGAGTCCATCACGGTTATTTTATATCGAGTATTAAATATGAAATGATAGTGGTTCCCATACAAACTCCAATTAAATTACCTGTTTTAAAAATTGTATAACGAATTAACCGTGCACCTGATTAGTCTTAAATTTTGCCCATCGATTCTCCATAGTTTAAATAATTCACAAAAAAAAAAATAAAAAATTGGTTGCACCTCGTGTATTCCTCCAGGAATATTTTGCATAGGGTCGGCATATGAAAACTTGAGACAACAGATGATTTTATTTTTTTTAAGCCCGTTTAAGTTCTGAAGATGATTACGAAGTTCCTATTCCTGTGTGCGGTAGCATTCAGCCAAGCCTTGCAGGTAATTAAACAAATTCATATTTAATTATATCGAATTGTGAGGATCGGTGAGTCATTCTAAAAATGGATGAAAAATTACCAGTACCTATGTTTCAGTTGCACCATCATATGACGGAGGATGAAATCCAAACAATTTTTCAAACTTCAAGACATGCCGGTGAGTGACAGAGTAATTGAAAATAATAGAAATGTGTGTCGAGATGTGACATGTGGAATGTTACAGTGCCTGAATACGAGGTTGTTCCTCTATACCATACGTTAAACGGAGAGAATACCGATGCCTATGAAGTAGTCAAACTCAATGCATTTGGCAATGACGTCGAACTGAACCTGAAGCAGAATGAAGGTATTTTGTATGGCATAAATACGCCGGTAATTGTAGCAGTCCCAGATCGTAATCAGCCTCGTGGAGTGAAGTTTAGCAAAGTACCCAATGTGAGTAGTTCCATCAATAATCCATCTTTAATTCGTAATTGAACGTGGAAAGAATAACTACTCACGGTCATGACAAATTATCACTATTCTTCGCGTGCAATCATGAAATTATACAAAGAACCAAAATTTTGGAATTTTTTCAAAAGCCGTTCAAAGAAGTGGGAATACCCCACCAAGATGAACAAACGAATTCAGCAGTTATACTCACTAAGAATGATGATGGCAGTGTGCAAATGTCTGGAAACATTCTGGATAAATATGTTATACAACCCGCGCCCGAAAGACTTGCAAATCTGACGAGGAAGGCACGAAGCATCAATGAAACATACGATAGCTTGGAGCAAACTCATCACCATATTATTTTCAAACAACCTCATCCTACTCGTGAGGAAATTCAACGAGGGATGCGTAAGATTGATATTTTAGCTATCAATTTATGCCATTCAGCAAATTTTGATTTATCTTGCATGTGTAATAATTCCTTTGTTGATCGCCATTCTCAATCGCTAATTCAGAGAATATATTGAAGGGAAGTAGACCTGAAATTTCTAATACGCGAGCGAACGCGCGCTATAGCCTGCTGTAATTATAAAAATAAAAATTGCAAAATGTAATATTTTGGCTAGATTAATAATATATTCTCTTAATTGACAGAATTGGTGGAGTCTCAAAACGCCTTGAGGCGTCACAAGGAAAATAATCCGACTGGTGGTAGACAGAAACGTAATGCTACCGGCATTGCCTACCCAGAAATTCTTGTTGCTATGGATTACTCTTTGTATAGGTAGATATTGTGTTTTTAATTGTAAGGTAGATTCAAGGATTCGGTTAATTACCGATGAAAACGAAGTCGTAGAAGATTTCTATCAAAAACGTTCGCATTTAAACGATTTTTTTTCTCAGTGTGATGAATTATTTTTTGTCATCTGTAGAACCCAAAAGAGCGATTTGAAAACGGCATTGACGTATCTCTTAGCTTTCTGGAATGCTGTTGATCTTAGATATCGAACTCTACCTGAACCAAGAATTCAGCTGAACATCGCCGGATTCGTTATTTCAATAGTGAGTGAACCAATTCGATCTTTATTTCATTAGAAACTGTAAGAAAGACCGTACCTCACGAACCTTTGGTATTTCCAGCAAGAAGGTGCGAGCCCATTTATCGAAAAAAGCAGGCGTAGGGGCAATCTGGTAAACGCTGAAGTCATACTTAAGCATATGAATACGTACTTCTATCCAGACGGCCAGATACCTGCACATTGGGATATAACAATCGCAATGACTAAGTAAATTTTCATATCTGTGCTGAAGCCGCAAGGCTAGTGAGTCATTATTTTTTAATCTATTATTATTATGTTTACAGAATGGACCTATATGACAAAGAAAGCGGAAAAGGTCTCCTGGGTAAAGTACACTTTTATTCGCGATCGAGATCTCATTGCTCGCAAAAAATTCTAATTGTTTCTGACTTGTTTAAAGGATACGCCAATGTAGAAGGCGCCTGTGCTGTATATTCATTCAGTAAAACGACGTTAGCAATTGGTGTGATTGAAGATAATGGTGCATACAGCGGGATACAGACTGGTGCTCATGAATTGGGCCACTTGTAAATATTTTTTTTCATTATCAATTAACCTAAATGAATATATGAATGGTTCTGTAGCTCTGCTTGCAAAGAAATGTTAGAGCTCACAGATGTTTCATGTCATAAAAATGATGAATTGAAAGAGCTGTTTTGTTTCGCCGAAGGTTTGGTGCTACTCATGATGGAGAACATTGCGGCATGAACGAAGGATTTGTGATGGCACCTTTCAGTGGTTCATTCAAAAACAGCTACTACTGGTCCGAGTGCAGTATCCGAGCTATATCGACATTCATAAAGTAAGTGTGAAAAATATCTCTGGAAATCCAATTGATTGGTCCTGCTGAATGTCTTTTTGTCGTGATATTGCAGCTCTGAAGCAGCTCAATGTTTGTACAATGTTCCAAACCCTGGAACTCCGCTTCAGAGAGTATTACCAGGAAAATTGATATCATTGGACGAGCAATGCCGAGCTATCACTGGAAAACCCTTCTGCCGTGTAAGTTGAATTCCCACGAGCGCAGTTAAACTTTTGACACACGTGCGCAATCATCATACACCGAAAATCATTTAATTGGAATTTTTTTATGGAATGCTATATCTAATAAATCCTCATTTTGTGACACTTGATAGCATCTTCAGCCGAGTTCCAAAACCTGTTTACAACTATGGTGCAGTAGCCAGGGAGATAGCTGTCTAAGTTATGGAGCAGCTGCAGAAGGATCTCTCTGTGGAACCAATAAGGTGAGACTATAATTCAGTAATTGTAAAAAACAATTATTAATGCAATTATTTCAGTTTTGCATCCGGGGGGAATGCGTGCCTGATAATAGCAGTGAACCGGTGGCACCTCCAGAAATTGTGATTGAAAAATTGCCATCTCCGACGTCCAACATCCCACCAACCTCAGACCAGCAAAACCCAGAACTGTCATTCGGCCAAAATTCACCGCCTGTAGTCAATTCAAAAAGGCGAGCTCCATTGAATCGATACCGTCCTCCAAGCATACAGGACCCAACATTGGAGATCATAAAGGTACCACCAGGATTCTTGGAGTATTTATATTCATTCGGTAACAATGGGGGAGCCAGATTTGCCTACAATTAATATAATGTGTCTATAATAAAAAATAAATTATTCAAATGCTTTTAATTTATTTGAACGTATCTCAATTATTTCCCACTGCATCAATTGGAATCCTCTCTATATCTCGTTAAAATAATACAATAGTATTGTCAGTATACAGATCTAAATTTCTCCAAATGTAAAACTTCATTTGAAATCGAGCGGCATTAGGAACCCATTTTTCACAAAAAAAAAAACTTATCTCGTTCTTCCACTTGAATACGAAATTCCCTCTTAGACTTCCAACAGTCACACCTCCGCCATTTGTTCAGCTGTCACCAGCTTCACATGTTTACACTGAGTTCACATTTCAATGGATTAATCACTCAAGTACCCGTAAATACTCATTTCACCTATTTATCAACGAACAAAGTGTTGCAAGCAGAATATGCAAATTGCATGTATGTGAATTTATCTGAAATAGATCGGTATCGCTGAGAAAAAAATTTATGGTAATAATTATGTGAGCGAATATGCCATCACATGATATTTCTGAAATGATAAAAAAAAAAGGACTGGTAGATGGGCCGGGTTAATCGAGTTGGAAGCACATATTTCTTCTGCACACCATTGGCAGCGGTAAAATGATGGACATGTATGAGGTCGATGGGTTACGTAGCAACGTCGGAGAGTTGTTGGCGCCGGTCACAGAGTCAACGAATAGATAGGTAAGTATGCAAATTCAAGAGTACATTTATCTCTGCACCACGCCCATGTATTTCCTGGGAACTTCCGGACGCATTGTCGGGTTGAATCGAAAGCACCCTCATACTCCAAGCATCGTTTGCTGCCTTTCACTGCCTCCACCCTCCACCAACCTTGCCATCGACCTCCCCATACTTTTGCCGGTTCGCCGCGGCGCCACCCAATGCCGGCCACCCCGTCCGATACTCTAGAGATTTACGACCAAACTAGCCTCGGTCCCCAGGGCTAATAGACCGGCAAGTTATGGGGCAATTCAATTTAATTTCGAGAATAAACAACCGCCCACACACTGGCATCTACAACCATCTATTCATTCGCAGATTTTCGAAATTTACAGGTCGGAGGATCTAACGCCCGAGATCATCTCATGGTTATCAACCGAAGTCTTCGATATTTCCGAAAATCTTCATTATATCGGATGCATTTTATATTTACATCCACGTGAAAGACTAAAAGTACAACTGCTTCGATCAAGTAATTCCACCACATTATCTTTAAATCTGTATTGTTTATTATGACATGAATTATTGAATGATCCACGAGTGAACATCTCTATTTATGATTCGAGGATTTACGAGAGATATTCTGGAATAGAGAATATTGATTATACCTCGCATGATTGCCCAATCAGTATTCATAATATTTGATTCCTCACGATCTCCTGTCGTAAAGATAATCGATTAAAGATGATCAGGGTCCCAAGTTGACGATATCAAACCTAATATCGTTTATGAGTCGTTAAGAGCAAGAGCGTTAATAAACCGAAGGACTCTCGTCATGGAGGTTTTTCGGAGTTTAATACCGACATCCATTAGAAATATACGCAAGAGCGAGGGCAAGTCACTATTAGAACACAAATTCAAGTTGATTTCATTTCAGCGGTCCATGCACTTCAAGACTCGGCGTAACTAAGGTGATTGCATAAGAAGTCATTACCCCGTGAGTTTCCCTGAGGTTTCCCTGCGAAAATCATTTTTTTTTCTCAGTATTCTCATAGAATGAAAAATTTTGTAACAATTATAAGAATTATAAAAATTATTATTGTTATAAAAATTTTCGTTCTATGATAGATCATTACTGAACGTCTAATGTTCATCGAATAGTAATAATTTCTTAGCTATAGTCTATAGTGGCAAACTGTTGACTCACAGCTGATTGATTCCTCACGAAAATAACACCACGGGCACCGCGAAAAGTGACAGAAATGAATGAATAACGGCAGTCAGACAAGTTGCAAGATTTGATTGTGTCCGATTGACTCAATTAGAAACCTATCACTTCGCAATCGGATATATGGTATAGTACCTTCGATATTTCCTGTTTGGGATACCGTCTTATCTGATTTTTCTGCAATTGTCCCCGATTTTCATCGCGTGTTATAGAAACGTATGCAACACTTTTCTCCTCATTTTTTTCTATTATCCTCCTTTTTCTACCGTCAGTTTCTCTCAAAATTCTACGACACGTTGCGTGTTCTTTCCCAACGAAACGAATCTATGCACTTCTGTGAAAGCTGTTTCAAACACGTAAGCTTGCTCGTACAATTACTGCACAATAGACGCCTCACATTCTATGAACGTAAAGAATATCGATCCTCACTCGCTCGATTTCATTTCCAACTCGTGTTTTAAAATCACAAACGTGAGTCGCCGAGACGAAAATTTTGAGGCTCTACCCTGAAAACATTGGATATTCAAGCAATAATTTTCCTAATAAATTTCATTTCAACTTGAATCAAATGAAAAGTCAATTAGAAGCAGTACTATTCTTTGAGTGCACAGCCTCATTATGAACTTAACATCTCCATTGTTTTTACTGTTGTCGTATTATCCATTTGTCTTTAGTCATGGGCATGTAGCTCAGTTGGGATGAAACCACTTTAGGACACGCGTGTCCTCACTCTGCATTCATGTGACACAACTGTCAGCAATTACTCGGGCGGTGACATACGCGTCACCATGGCTAATCTTGACGTCATAGGTTGCCTCACCAAACGGCTGATTCAAATTCAAATAACCATGGTCCTCACGTATCAGGGATTGACTGATATGTCTGTATAATTCCGATGCAATGAAACCATTCCGACAATAATCCTCAAATGTTTCATGATGAAAATTTCATAATGAAAAAACCTTTATTGGTGCTATAAATGGATTAAATGACAATAATTGAAATCAAATGCAGGTAAATCTTCTGCGTTCCACCGACCCATCATTCCCTCGACACGCCAATATTGATTTCATGTAAATAAATTTGCAATCTACCCTCTGTGAGATGGGAAACTAATTAGACTTGATGAGTAATTAATTCAGGTTGGACATAACAGCCCAAATTGGTGATAGATTGGTGAGTGTTATGAGAAGGTAAAGATAAATAAAATTTGCCAGGCAAAAACACTTGACTATTTGATATGCACTTCCGTCGAACTATATATAATATAATTTAATCGAACTATATATATAATCAAAGATTACCCAGTCAAAAGAAGCGATTGTACCAGCACTTAAGGATAGGGATGACAAATACATAAAAATATGATCCTTCACCGATGAATATCATCCGAATTTAAATCAAATAGTTTGATCAGAAGCATCCAATGAACTCCACCAATTCCCCGTTCACCCCAATTTTTTTTCTAACTTTCTATAAATTTTTATTGGCAAAAAAAGAGCAAACGCACAATACCATGAACCGCGGAATGGACTGACTGTCGGTACAATACTGTTTTCGTTCTGATCCATCAACCGTGTCACTCTCTATGTGTTCCATTTGCACCTCCTACATTGTCCGATTTTTCACTTTTTAGACATGGTAGGTAATGTAATATTGACAGTCGAGGAGGGGATATTGCAGCTCTTGTCCATCACAAAAAGCGTTCGGAATTCCGAGGGCGGAGCGTTGAATGGAATCTAATTCAATGGGCCAGAGTTTCCGATGAAATTTCGTTCGTCAGTGTCTCTTGTTACGTCTTGTTAATATTGCGTTCTTTATAACATGGAGGTAATAAGTGATCATATCCATATATTCTGATAGATAGGGTCGCATGTGTCAACCCAGCATGTTCACTAGAAGTTTTTTTTACTCATTAGCTCGTCGGAATCGAAAATTCGTTACTGTACCGGGTAAAGAGCCGTTATAGGTCCACCAGGAAAAAATTTCCAGAAAAAATTCAGTCACGCGCCGTTTTTATAGACGCAGGTCAGGTAGATGTCCAGAATCTCCTTGGGGTTGATGTAAAACATTTCGTCCAGTTAAGCGTTGGCGTGCAAACGTTCCGCAATTACCCAGGCTTTCTAATTTGGTTTCTGGCCACCAGCCGATCTTGCTGATAAAATTACGTGATTTTCTGGTGAAGAAGCTAGGTTAACCTCAGTGGGCGGAGGGATATAGGGTCGAAGAGAGATTGCACAAATTCGCACTCTGCAATAGCCTCCAATATATGCTAGTCCCTAACTTGAAAATAAGTCGTGTGGGAGTTGAACTTACGGAGATCATGAATTAATGTCTCGACGATTTTTCAACAAACACGAAGTAATTTCGA